TTTATTAGTAAGACAAAAGTAGTGGTTATTATTTAACTTTTACCCTGTCATTTAATCCTCAGATCTACGCTAAAGGGCCAGCATTGACATTATTCTTATTTTACAGATGATAAAGCTAGGAAATAGAGAAGATAAGTAATTTGTTTAAAGAAAGGAAGTATTGAGCAGAGGATCCAGGCTTTGAAGAACCCATTCTTTCTGAATCAAGAGTCTGTGCTCTAACTATGGTAATCCTAAGAATTGGATTGGTTCACATTAACAAGATGAAGATATAAATTGTGTCATTAGGTGGTATTAGTAAACATAATATCCACCTCTGAAAGTATACCTCCCAGTCAGCTGCCTCCCCTCATGAATAGCAGTTTATGAGGTTGAGGATGCAAGTTTGCCTGGCAATATCCCAATCTAAATAAGGGCAATCGAACAGGTATTTTTTTTTTTTCTTCTTCCTTAAGGCCACATGTTTCTGACTTACAACTGTGCAGCTTTGAAAAACAATAGCCTCTAGGGACACTTTCAAAAGCAGAATTCATAAAATATTGGCATTTACATTTGAAAATGTCTTGTTAAAAAACCAACAAACAGTTGTATTCATAAGGAAATTGTTATAATCATTCAAAGAAGGTCAGAATTCAAATTCGGACAGAAACTCCGTTTTTATTTTTCTCACTTAAATCATCCTTCAAAAGAGATTTTTTTGTTTTGATTTGTTTTCTTAACTAAAACCTGGCAGTCACTAAAGCTTAACAGGAAATGTGCGTGTGTGTGTGCATGTGTGTGTGTATGGGTTTTAAACCAATGAATAATTTGTTTTATCCTGCTTTATTATGTGTTGACCTTTTTCTGCAGTCCAGCCCAAATTAAAAAAAATGCCTCGCTGGAATACTCACTGAACCATTTTTTCCTTTTTTTTTTTTTTTTAAAGATTTTATTTATTTATTTGACAGAGAGATAGAGCAGAAGCAGGGGAACAGCAGAGGGAAAGGGAGAAGCAGGCTTCCCGCTGAGCAGGGAGCCCGATGTGGGGCTCAATCCCAGGACCCTGGGATCATGACCTGAGCTAAAGGCAGATGCTTAACTGACTGAGGGACCCAGGCGCCCCTAAACCATTTTTTTTCTAGAAAGAGAATTTTCCATTAAAAAACATCTCAGAAGTCAGCAGGTTTTTTATGTAAAGTTTAAAAGCACCTAAATGCTTCTTCATCTCTCTTCCTAAATCATCTGTTTTACTAATATTCCAAAGTCAAACTCTAATAATTGTATACGCATCCCAACAAAAACATTCTCAGTGTCTTACTAAGTCCGTTGGAAATCAAATCACATCAAGAACTATTGCTCTAAAATTTCTAGCTGATATTTTGATCATAAATCACAGCCTTAGTAAATTCATAAGAGATAATCTTAAGTCTAACCAGTGGCATTATGGTAAATGTTTAACCACAGGCTCTCCAGAAAAAACAAATCCCGATTTGTTGCATTTCCCAGTTTCCATGGTGTAAATAAATACTCCCACTGTAGCCAATTTCAAGCTACCAATGTGGCATCACTGAAGGCAGAGTTGGAAGTGGTACAAACACAGTCCACACAACACTGGGTCTGACAACTCTGACAGCATGTGAGCTTTCATCAAAATTTCCACGAAGTCTCCAAAGTCGCCAAAGTCAGATGTTACTGAAGGGATGCAGATAAGATGCTGGGGTAAGCTATGTAACCTTTCTGTCAGTGTATTTCCTCATATGTATGAGGTATGTAAAATGGTAATAATAAAGTTTCTAGCTCATGGGATAACTGTGATGGTTAAATGAAATAGTGCATTAAAATGCTTAAAAGAGTTCTTGGCACATAGCAGGCTATAATAAGAGGTTTTTAGTAATAAATGGTAGGTATTGTTTTTCTAGGATCTGTAATTCCAACTTTCAGAATGTTTTACACATTGTCATCTTAATCTTTCAGAGGTCATTAAAAACTATCCTGAGACAATGCCAATTATAGAGAGAAGAATACTAAGAGAGAGAAGAGAAGCCATACCTTAGTTTCTGTCCCTAGTTTTGACAAAGCCTATGTCTGTGACCATTGGCAAACCTGTTTACTTCTAAGAGCTTTGGTTCTCTTATTAGTAAAGTGCAGAAAGTAACGTATAGGATTGTGGGGAGACTAATATGAGCCCTTGAAAGATGATCCAAATGTGGGGCAGTATTATTAATCCAATTTAAAAATCAAGATGCCATGGAGGCATGGAAGCATTAAAATAAAATAGTGAAAAGTTTTGTGTCATTTGAGTAAAAATTGGGAATGATGTAGTGTTAAGAGCTGGGATTTTTTTTTTTAAAGAGAACACACACACATACACACACACACGCGCACACACACACACACCAGTTCTACCATGAAGCAGTTAAGCATTTTTTTCTTCCCACAAAAAAGCAATTTTCTAAAAAAGCAATTTTCAAATGAAAAGGAACTATACTTAGAAATGTAACATATGTGTAGATGAGTTAGGGATAATGGAGAACTAAGTTAACAAAATATCCATAGAATCATAATTTTCTGGGAAACTTAATAAATATAGCATATAATAATCTATCAAATGAAAGACAAGATGTATTTAGGGAAACCAGATAGTTAACATTATGCCATTATGAACAATGTAAATCTCCAAATAATTCCTTAAGATAAAATTTCTTTAGTTTTATAAATAAATACAAAAAATAAAATGTCAAGGACAGATTGAAGAAATCTTAAACACTCAAGTTGTGAACATTCACTCAATTTGTGAACAATGAAGAGCATACGTGAAACTGAAGGAGCAAGGAAATTACAGAAACATTAGATTTTTTTAATTTACACTTTGAATCTCTGTTCACCTAGAAGAATTATATACATTATATATATTCAGTGAAAGTTAACCAGGAAAACAATTCTGCATAAAGTTTATAATCTAAAAGTGTGCCTATGATTACCGCCCCCCCCCCACACACACACACAATTTATGACTCTAAATCATGTTTTAAAAGAAGAGTTCTGTTCTGGGGACAAAGAAAAAAATCACCTGTGCAATATAGCCTGCACCATGCCCTTTTCTGTCTGTTATTAGTGAAAATTCTCATGGTCTGATGTTAAAAAGGTCAGTACCTGATATAGGAAGATCTCCAAGTTTCCTTAGGGGAAGGAAAGCAACATGAAACACTGTATAGAGAGTGTTCTATCTTCCATAAAAGGAGAAGAGAAAAATATGAAATAGAAATTTGTAATAAATCATTGGAAATAAACATAAGAAATTTATGAATTGGAAATATGAGTAGTTTGGGATGGGATAAGGATGGAGGCAAGACTTTCATAAGGCACCTTTTTCTATTATCTTTATTTTTAAATCATGTGAATTTTAACCTGTGAAACAACAAGTGGTGTGTGTGTGTGTGTGTGTGTGTGTGTGTGTGTGTAAGCCCAGTACATATGGATATGTAAGAACTTCAATCTCATGTCTGGTTTAACAGTTCCTGCCTCTGCCAAGCTCAGGCCTGACTCATGCGTGGATACCTGCAGAAGCGAAGGGGCGTGATGGATGTCTGCAGTCTCCGTGTCCCATCATCTGTCCCACTCACTCTGCTGTTTCTCATCGCTCAACGATGTGGTGGGGCGTGGCAGGAAATTATAGGAGTCAGGGGGTGTTACAAGACTGATGTGTTTGTTGTCATCTATGGGACAAATGCCCAAATGCTGGTTATTTTTCTCTTCTGGGGAGCTTTTGTGTATCCTTCAGAGAACTTGCTACAACCCTCTTGGGTGTTATGTGTTCTCTGATATTTGGGCTGCATATTTATGATTTCTCCCTGGTTCATTCAACAATCACCCCATGCAGCCAGCCTCTTTTTCGTCCTTCTGAAGTCAGTTTTCTTCCAATACTGGTCAATCCCTTCAAAAGACTTCTATTTCACTTGCCTCATGACTTTGGAAAAACTTAGTGCCTTTTCTGTGCCAAACTCTGGAGGGACATGTCTCTTCCTCCACAGTGTCCCTTTTACCTGTGAATTCAAGGTAGTCTGAACCAGCCTGCCACCTTTATCTCTGTTGAGATGATAATCAGGAACCAGACTTAGTACCCTCTAAACTCCAAGAGATAGTGGTCAAATCTCTTATAAACTCTCATATACTCCACTGAGCCTTCTAGTAGCATTAGGATTCTCAGGATACCCTCTTGAGGTTCTGAGGTAAGTACCCTCTTGGAGGAAAAAAACGGGAAAACAAACAGTTCTCTCTTAAGGCCAAGGTTTCTTAACTTCCATTCTATTAACACTTGGGGCTGGATAACTCTTTGTTGTGGGGGATTTTCCCGGGCATTGTAGGATTTGTAGCAGTATCTCCAGCCTCTACCCATCACATTACAGTAGCACACTCCCATCAACCAAACCAAAATGTATCCAAATATTGCCAGATGACCTGGTCAACAGCCACAGCACCAGGGCTAAGAACCCTCTTCAAATAAATCCCCATTTCATTATCTCCTTACCACTCTAGTATGAGTCTAGGTGATGACTGAATACACTTTTGGGACTGTCTCTTAGCAAGCCCTGCAGAGATTCTGACAGGTACATCTTATGAGAATGTGTGGACATGTGACACCCATTTTCTCAGCAGGAACTCTGGAATCTTGAGATAATAGGAAAATCCTTATATCAGTGAAAATTGATATAAGCCTACATCTGTCTCTGAGTTTACAAATCTGCACCTAAAGCAATGAGGGTAGGGAGAGAGGAGACTTTAGTTTGTTCATTTTATGACTTAATTGTTTGACTATTTTTTTTATATTCACCTATTTGTATTAAAATGTGTATTTTTAAAGAAAGGATCACAGTCCAGTTAAATAGCTACATGAAGAAAAGCTCTTTAAATTTTAATAAGATTTTTATTCCGGTTTCATGGCTAAGATATGCTAAATTCATATTTGAGATAAATGAAGGCCAAGAAAGAAGAAAAGGTAGGGAAGGGAGGCTAAAACTCACCTTGTTTCATCAATGTACACAGCTTCCAACACAGATGCTGCATATTCAATATTCTTCTTTAAGTCTACGATGTTAACATCACCTTTTTCCAGCTGCTTCACTAAGCATCTTAGTCTGTTTCAAAAAAGTAGTCAAAAAAGAGAAATAAGAGATTTATTATAACTATGTGGAAAATAGTCCAGTATTAAATACACAAATCAAGTTAAACCAGTAATATATCTTTCTAGCCCATCAAATAGAAATATTTTCAGGAATTTTTTTGATATAATTAAGTTCAGTTTTTGTCACTTGAACAACTCCTGAAAATTATATTCACCTCTCAATAATATTAGGGTGGTAGATTGCTATTTTAGGTACTATATTTCAAGGACAGTCTTTCTGAAAATTCAAAACAATAGAAATATTTCCATAAAAGTATATTCCTAACACTAGAATTTATTCTATGGCTGTTCTCCTTCTTCAGATTTGGCACTAAAAATTATTTAAAGGGTACTATTTATATCACTACTGTAGCAGTTATTCACTGTATATAGCAATAAAAACAAAAAGAAAGGCAAAAGATCTGAGAAAATACAATTATGATGAGAAAAAAATATATGTATGTATGCTTTTTGTTTTTACTGAAGTGATTTTACACCTGAGGCGAATCTGTACAATATTTTCTCTTGCTTTTGCACATTCAATGTTCCAACTTCCTGAGGAATTTTAAAGCGTAGGGATCAATTAAGCCATGTCTGGATTCCTGACTCACAGAAACTGTGAGATAATTAATATTATTGTTTGAAGACATTAAATTTGAGGATTAATTTTTTACATAGCAATAGATATGGAGTGAGATAATATGAATACCAATACTTCTGTAAGTTCCTAACATTTTCAGAAACTTCTGTGCATTAATTATAAACCAAGTGTTTCTGAAGATATTACCCTATACTAGGCAGAAAAGGAAAACATAGTCTTTACTCTCTACATATTATAGATAAACAATGTGAGGACAATTTATCCATTTTCCTGTTAGGAGACGAAATTTAATTCTATTCCTGAACAAAGGTATTTTAGAGAGAATGGAGTATATCTACTTTTAGGCACTATCTTAGAGATAGCGTAGCAGATTTTCTGAAAATTTACTTTGGATGATTTCTAATACTAAGGCTAAGGATTTAAAGATGAGTTAAAAATTTCAGCAAGAGTTTTGACAAATACTTTATTTCTCCATGGGAAAAAAGCCACACCTAGACTAAAACTTCTTCAGGAATCTACAATTATTTTTTTTGCCATACATTTTTGTATGATAAAATATTAACAGATAACAACAATGCAAAATAAAATCTGTGTTAATTTTAAAAAGTCTTCATACAGTCAGCAAAGTAAAACAAAACAAAGATAACAACTAAAACAGGTTACTGAGAAAGGAAAAATTAAGCCTGTCTGAATATGATGATAATGGAGTAACAGAACACATAGAGTGTTCTGAGATTTTTGTAATGCTTATGACCCAAGCGCGTTATACTTAGTGTAATTGCCTTTTATGTGTGAGAGCAAAAGAAAGAGTCACAGCTCCACAATGACTTAAACATATACCACTCATGTATCCTTCTTGTGAAAATTATTTGCTACAATGTGGTTGTATTTGGTGGTTATGTGACGTACTTTTATTTTTTTATTTATTTTCTTAAAGATATTTTTTATTTATTTATTTGATAGAGAGGCAGAGGGCACAGGTAGGCAGAGGGGCAGGCAGAGGGAAAGGGAGAAGCAGGCTTTCTGCTGAGCAGGGAGCCCGATGTGGGGCTCGATCCCAGGATCCTGGGATCATGACCTGAGCCGAAGGCAGTCGCTTAACCGACTGAGCCACCCAGGCGCCCCTATATGACGTACTTTTAAAAGCACTAAGTACTTCAGATGATTGGCTTCTCTTCTTCTGAATAAATAAACTCTTTTTTATTTGAATTAGCAATTTTCTCCACTAAAAAACTACATTTTTCAAGCTTTCTTGAAACTAGGTATAGTCATTCAACTGCTTTCGGCCGAGAGTATTAGGAGGTTGTTGAGTAAGACTTTCAGAACAATGATTTTGAAGAGGGCTAACTCAGCTGGAAGGCATTCTCTTTTATCCTTGCCAGTTCCTTGCTGCCCAAATGTAGTGGAACTGTCTCAAGGTCTAGCAGCCATTTAGGATCATGAGGACACCTGGCAATAGGAAGTTACCCACTAAGAATGGCAGAGAAAGAAGATGCCAGTGGCCTGAGTCCCATGCTGTAAATCTACCTGAATGAAGTCACCTACCTCTGAAGTTATTTCATGAGAAGAAAAAAATGTTGTATTTAAGCTACTATTATTTTGAGACTTTTATGTGCAGCTGAACCCAATCCTAACTGATAAGTCAAATAAGAAATGACTCAAAATAAAGAACTCGAGAATGGCAAAATCATCATAGAAAATGAAAAGGGGATGTCCCTGGGAAGCTACCCACAGGTGCACTTCCTAAATCATGACAGCCTGCAGTTGTTCCCAGGGGTATCATCCCATCAGCCGATAAGACCCGATGAAACCAGTGACAAGGAACATGCTGTTTCACAGAGACATCTTGATGTGGTTTAAGAACAACAAAGGTTATGAATTTTTATTTTTTATTACGGGTATAAAACTATAATCTGAGACAAGAAATTGCTCTGAAAAAATACTCCAAAAATATTCCAAAAAGGTTTTACCACATAATCTGAAAATCAAGTTAGATAAGGTTAAGTTAGATAGGGTTATAACTATAAAATCATAACCACCTCTACATCCCATATAGACACACACACTCTAAAACTCACTATGTCAATCCAAAAAGACTGGAAGGAAATACAGATTTGGGGGTTACTAGGACTTCTTTCTCTTTTATCTCCTCTGCCTGTATGCACCAAATTTTCTCTAGTGAGTGCAAAATTCTATTTACAGAAAAGGAAAACTGTTGTATTGTAAACAGATTATTTATAATCAGAACAGCAGGTTAATGGAATAATTAGTATAATTATTATTCCAATTGTGAACTTGCTTTTGTAGTCAATTTATGCATACAATAATCCCCAACAATCTTATTTAGGCTATTATTTCACTCTCTTTATAGATGATACAAGGTCAAACATCTTTGTGAATCATTTTCAAATGATCATAATTTCTAACTTAGTGGGTTCTAAGGTATTAAGGCTTTACTACATATATCTACAAAAATATTAATTTTTTTAAAAAAGATAACTATATTTACCTAATTCCTAAGCCATCCTATGGGTCAATTCTCAGAACTAAAAAAGAAATCACAGTCATGTGCATAAAAAACAGGTTCTCTTAATTTAGTAAAAGGTCTTTTTAATATTTATTTATTTATTTATTTATTTATTTATTTATTTTGAGGAGGGGAGGGACAGGGGAAGGAGAGAGAAACTTAAGCAGGATCATGCCCAGCGTGGAGCCCGATGTGGGGTTCACTCTCATGATCCTGAGATCATGACCTGAGCCGAAATCAAGAGTTGGTTCCTGAGCCACCAAGGCACCCCATGATTTGGTTTCTTTCATCAGAGTAGGGAAGCATAGTGAAAATCAGTGTTCCTAATGCAAGGTCTAGGTATGTTCTTCTTGTTCCTGAAGCTTAGGTTGAGTAGATGTGTTAGATGTTCTAATCTGTGCAGCTTCCACTGATTGCTGGGTTGGAGACTCCATTGGCTACCCTGCTGGGTAGTAAAGCAAGTTAACAGCTATTGTATCAAACAACATAGACCAGCTATTTATAAGCAGATGATATTGCCAAAAAAGTGTTAAAAATCCAAGTCAGTTAAATAAATATTTAGCATTTATTACTATACCTGGGGCTATGAGATATATATATGAATACATGTAAGAATATATATGAATGCATATGTAAGGATACACACACACACACACACACATAATGCATGGGCACCTGTGTATACACCACAGTACCTGTCTTCAAGGTATTTGCAATCTCTGGGGATGGCATGACATACGCACCTAATATGGTCAAATGTTGAAATGCATACATTCCTCATTACTTTTTTTATACAACCCTAATTTCCAAGAAAACTGATTTAGTCATTGTTCCTCAAACATTCTCTCATCATCCTAAATTGAAGCTCTTCTCTCTTGCTGAAATACCTCCATATCTGTCTGAATCATGTTTAGTAACTAAGCATATCTGGGGTGCTGCCTATATCATGAGCCCTTTGAAGATTACCATCCATTGTGTTCTCTCCCAACGTAGAAACAAAACCACACTTCATTTACTCCTCACTAACAAAACTGAAATTTCTCTGGCTTCCTTATAATTTCAATTTTGGGTACATGCTGTTTTCCCAATTGGTTTTTCACCCAATAAAAAAAATTATGAGGGATGCAAAGAAGCAGGAAAATTGATCCATAATGAGGACAAAAATCAACCAGCCAAACTTGACCCAAATATGGCAAAGATGACAGAATTAGAAGGCAAGGATGTTAAAAGTCATTATTAAAACACAATAATATATGCAACATTATGCCAATAAATTCAACAATTCATAGAATGAACAATTTCCTTAAAAGACACAAGCTACCAAATTTCAGAAAGAAATGGGTAAACTAAATTTGTAGTTAAAGATGTTAACATAAAGAAAACTTCAGGCCCAGATGGTTTTATTGGTGAATTATGTCAAAAATTTCAGGAAGTAAAAACACATATTCTCTGCAAACTTTTCCAGAAAAATCCTATGTCCTAATCCTATGTCATTCTGAGAGGTCAAAATTACCCTTATAACAAAACCAGATGAAAACATTAGAAGAAGAAGAAGGAAGAAGAGGAGGAGGAGGTGGAGGAAGAGGAGCAACATATCAATAAATATTCCCCATGAACATAAATGTAAAAATCCTTAATATTTTAGGAAATCAAATCCACCAATATATAAAAGAATAGTATATCATAAAAAAGATTTATCCCAGGAATGCAAGGTTGTTATAAGATTGAAAAATTAATCAATGTAACATTATATTAAGAGACTAAATAAGAAAAGCCATATGATCATCTCAATAAATACTCAAAAAGCACTTGACAAAATCCAACATCAATTGCTCACTGAAACTCT